AACTAAGGCCCTGGAGAAAGGGGGCATCTTAGATTGTGAGGAAGATCTGAGGTCCCATTCATTAAAGTGGGCTATGTTCCTTTAATAAATGGTTATTGGCTCAGAGCTCTGCCTCAGTGGTTTTTCTTTCAGATTGGACGTTTTTGTGGCCCACAATGGGATGCTAACACTCACTCATATCCTATCCACTGTGAGTTCTGGCTTAGAATTTGTGAAGTCAGAATTGGGTGGCTTGGTGCAAGGACAGGGCTGTAAAACAGGGTTGGAGGTGCTCCAATTCCAGTGGTTTTAGCTCCAAAAAAGAACTATTCATAAAATCGTCAGCCTTTTCAAGTGACCATGGAATGGCAAACCAGGGCTGATACTTGGGACGTTCTCTGTTGATAATCTACTAATGCAATGCTCTCCTGTGCTGTGCACAAGCTAAGTTAAGAAAGTCAGCAGAGCCTGGGGGAGGAAGGATGGCCAACCTGGGCACCTACCCAAAATGGAGGTCTCAAGAGGAACTTACTAACGAGAAGCATGGTGGGGAGATGTTCTAGGGTACGGTGGGGAGAGCTGTGCCAAAGAATATCGGACATTGAGCCAGGAAAAGCCACCCACTCAGCAGGCTTAAAAGTACAGACAAGGTCTCTGCCTTCCCCTCTCCTTGAGCATTTTGCTTAAGACTCTGCCAGTTCTCTCTCAGAATTAGATTGAAGGTAGGGAGATGACCTCTCTTCCTTCACCCAACCCCAGCAGCTGCTATGGTGGCTATATGCACAAAGCAACAAGCACATTGGCTTGATTAGGTGAGCCTGAGACTGGATTTCAAGACCCTAATTGCTGCTTCTGCTTTGTGTTTCTTTTCCTGAACACAGGTAACAGAACAGTGCTCCTGAGGTGGATGTTTGTAACTTTGGCAGGAGCTCAAGAGTTGGGGTGTTCCAAGTTCAGGTGTTGACTGGCGGTGACAGACGCTTCCCAGTTTCCACTCTTGGGGAACCCTGATGGGATCTTCTCGGAACACAAAACCTCAAACCGTGATCTGCACGGCTGCAAGACCTGAACCTACCCATTTGGTTCAGATGAAGGTGAAAGTGAAATCTGGTCATCAGCCCCACCAACCTCTGGGGTGTCATTTCCCAATAACAGAGGGAAAAAGTAACGTGTTTCTGTATCTGTTTAGAGGGTATGAGTCCTTTGTGATAGACTTCTATTTCATGGTCATTTGCATTTCCTTTGCCACTTATTTTGTGGTAAAGGAAATAAATAGTTGTTTTATACCTGATATCTACTACTTTGGGTACTGAGCAACTTTTCAAGAACAAGATTTTGTGAATTCCTTTTTAGTGACCCTAGACATGATTAAGTTTTATTTATGATTTATGATTAAGAGATGGTTAAGCTTTATCTAAGAGATTTTCCTTGGGGCTTTTAACCCAGGATGAGGGCATAATGAGCCAGAAGTGTAAAAAAAATATTGGAATCCACTCTCTTTGGGGTCAGGCATGCCCCTACCAGTCCATCTAATTTCCAAATCAGGATCCCAATGTGGGAAAGGGTGCCCCTTACCCCAGGCCATGGCAGGGCCAAGATGTGAACCCAGGCCCTGTGACTCCAAACCCATCATTCTTTTCACTGTACCTTCAACCAGCCCTCCATATAGCCCTTCTCTTTCCCCAAGCTTTGTCTGTCTCTAGTGTTTTCCACAGACCAGAAAAACAGCAGCATAATTAGCTACATTATAAGGGCTATAGTTATATTCCTTACAATCCTGAAAGCAAGACAAGCAGCCTACATTTCACTCTTATTTACTGTTAGTCTTTGATGTTTTGTCTAAAATTTTCATCAATGTAGAAATAAATAGCTATGTCAGGAACACAGTACGAACAGAGTAGATTTTAAAGTGATTTACAAAACCAAGTCAAATAGAATGACTGGCATTAAGAGGAAGAGTAATATAATGTATAATGTCTGTTTTTTATAGAGTGCCATCTGCATAGCCCTTTTTATGTATTTCAAAGTATTTCCCACACATTAATACCCCAGATAGGGGAAGATAGGTCACGATCCAAAAAGATCTTGACAGGCTAGAGTATTGGACTGAATTCATTAAGACGAAATCCAACAGAGATAAATATAAAGTCTTATATATTGAGTATTAAAGAAATCAACTTTGCAAGTAATTAATAACTTTTATATAGTGCCTACTATGTGCCAGGCACTTTACAATTATTATTTCATTTGGTCCTCACAACCCTGGGAGGTAGGTGATATCATTATCCTCATTTTACAGAAGAGAAAACTGAGGCAAAAACCGGTTAAGTGACTTGCCCAGGGTCACACAGTTAGTGTGTGAGGCCATATGTGAACTCAGGTCTTCCTGACTCCAGACCCGGTAGTCTATCCACTTTGCCACCTACCTGGGGGGCAGCATGTTATATAGTAGTTTGTTCTCAAAAGATCTGAGGGTTTTAGTGGCCTGAAAGCAGTATGACGTAGCAACCCCAAAAGCCAATGCCATCTTGGGCTGAGTTAAGAGGGGCCAAGCTTCCAGGAATGAAGGAAGTGCTAATGCCTCTGTACTATGCCCTGGTCAGACCTCGACTGCAGTAATGTGCTGTTCTAGGAGCCACTGTTTGTTTGTTTGTTTGTTTGTTTATTGGTGAGGCAATCGGGGTTAAGTGACTTGCCCAGGGTCACACAGCTAGTAAGTGTCAAGTGTCTGAGGCCGGATTTGAACTCAGGTCCTCCTGACTCCAAGGCCAGAGCTCTATCCACTGCGCCACCTAGCTGCCCCTTGGGAGTCATAGTTTAAAAGGGACACGGATAAGCTGGAGAGTGTCCAGAGAAAGGTGATGTGGATTGTGAGGGGCTTTGAGTCTGTGACATATGGGGACCAACTGAAGGAGCTGAGCACATTTAGCCTGGAGAAGAGAAAACTCAGGATGGGCATAAGGGCCGTCTGTCTTGAAGTTTGTGAAAAGTTGTCATTTGGGGGCAGCTAGACAGTGCAATGGATACAGTGTCTAGTCTGGAGTCAAGAAGACTCATCTTCCTGAGTTCAGCTGGCCTCAGACACTTCCTAGCTGTGTGACCCTGATAAAGTCACTTGACCCTGTGTGCCTCAGTTTCCTCATCTGTAAAATGAGCTGGAGAAGGAAATGGCAAACCACTCCAGTATCTTTGCCAAGAAAATCCCCAAATGAAGACATGACCGAAATGACTGAACAAGCACAACAACAACTACATTTGGAAAAGGGATTAAATGTTCTGCTGGCCCCAGAGGGGAGAATGAGGAGCAAGGCATGGAAGCTGCAATAGGGCAAATTTAAGTTTGAGATTAGGAAAAACTTTCTAAAACTGAGAGTTGCCCAAAAGTGAAGTGGGCTGCCTCCAGACATCATGGGTTTCTTGCCTTTGGAGGTGTTTAAGCAGAGACCAGATGACATCTTGTCAGGTATATTACAGCAGAGATCCTTTTAGGGCTTGGGTTGGACAAGATGGTCATTGAGGTCCTTTCCAAATTTCAAATGCTATGGTTCTGTGAATGTCCCATTTGATTCTCACAACCCCATGAGGCAGATTGAAGAAGGATTTCGACCTACATTTATAGTCAGTCACTCAGTCGATAAATATGATTAAGAGCTTACTATGTTTCAGGCACTGTATTAAGTCCTGGAGATACAAAGGAAGGCAAAAGACTGTCCTGACCCTCAAAGAACTCACGGTCTAATGCGGGAGATAACATGCAAACAACTATGTGGAAACAAGCTATAATCAGGATAACCTAAGAGATAATCAGCAAAGGGAAGGCACTAGGATTATGGGGGATCAGGAAAAGGTTCCTACAGAAGGTGGGATTTCAGCTGGGGTTTTATAGGTGAGGGAACAAAGACATAGAGAGGTGAAAGGACTTCGATGCATGATGTGGAGAGGCAAAAACTCCACAACGGGCATGCTTCACTTCCTACACCCATGACCTGTGAAATGCTTCCACGATTCCCTGTAACAGAAGTGTAACACACATGTCCCTTATCTAACGTCTAGACTTCCGGTGGTGTCCAGCAGTCCTAGGAATCTAGCATTCAGAGTTGGGGTGGTGTTATGAATAGAATGTTGCAATCAGAAAGAACTAAGTTCAAATTCTGCCTCTAACACTAAGAAATGTGACCATGGACACAACTTCTCTAAGCCTCCTTTTCTTCAGCTGTAAAACAGACATAATGCCTGTAGTATATACCTCCTCACAATGTTGTTGTGGGACTCAAATGAGGGAATATATGTAAAGTACTTTGCAAAATGTAAATTCTTCTGTAAATGTTAGGTATTAATATCATTGTTCACTGTTTCCACATGTACTAGTGTAGGTATAAAGTGAGAGTGTCACCAAAAATATGACTCTCTCAGCCAACATTTCTGTTTCCTAAGTGGACCGTGGAGGGTAACAAAATTAATAGCCTCTCATGAAGCTTTTTTTTTTGATTGGGTGTCCCTCTTTCACCCAGGCTGGAAGTACGGCAGCCACATCCCACTGCTGATCAACATAGAAGCTTTGACCGGCTCTGTCTCTGACACAGGTCAGCTTGACCCTCTTTAGGTGGCCTGATGGTCCCCGACCCTGGAGGCTCATATATTGGTACAGGACTTAATGCAGACCCCTGATCAGCTTTCCCTAATGTAGCTCAGAAATCCTGAACTCAGGCGATGCCCTCGCCTCAGCCTCCCCAGTATGAGGAAATATGCTTGTGCATCACCATGAAGTCTTTTTTACTGGGCTGCCTGTCCCTTCACTCAGTGGACTATGGTGTAATGAGAATGGGGGCTGATATTTTGGGGATCCTTCTCTGTCACGCTCTGCTCCGTAGCCCTCAAATACGTGCTATGCAAGAAAAGCTTGCAAGTAGTTCACTCAGGCCTAGAAAGTTAACAGACCTAGACAATTATTCATTCAGTTAATTAATGTGTTTCTGTATGCCCCTCCAAGGAGCAGTGCACTGTACTGAGAACTGACTTACCGGGCACTTTCAAAGGTGGCAGATGCAGTCTTTCCAACAGCCCCAAATCCAACTCCAACAGCAAGACCCTCTAAAAGAGACACAAATGCCCTTATGGTTAGGAGTCAATGCCCATTCTTCATGATACTATCTGTTGACTACACACCACGGTCATCATTACAATAGAACACATTCCTACAGCATCTTATGATTTTATAATAATAATTATTATTACATATCACACTTGAAAGGTTGCAACATGGTCCATATCCTTTATCTCATCTGGTACACAGAGGTTCTATAGGTTTTATCATCTCAATTTTACAGATAAAGAAACTGAGGCAGAGAGAAGTTAAGTGATTTGGCCATGGTATACAATCAGAAAATGTCAGAGAAGGGCAGCTAGGTGGCGCAGTGAATAGAGCACTGGCCCTCGAGTCAAGAGGACCTGAGTTTAAATCCGAACTCAGACACTTGACACTTACTAGCTGTGTGACCCTGGGCAAGTCACTTAACCCCACTGCCTAGCCAAAAGAAAAAAAAAAAAAGAAATGTCAGAGGCAGGATTTGAACTGAGAACTTCATGACTCAAAGTCCAATGTTCTATCTACTACGACATGGCAATAGCTCTCTCAAAGCATTTCTCCCTTAGCAATTCTATGAGGTCTGTAGAGAAAGCAGTATTACTCCCATTTTATAGATGAAAAAATAGAGGCTCAGAGTGTTTGTGACTTACTCATGGTCATTTAGTGAGCATCAGAGCTAGGACTTGATCTCAAGTCTTCTGAAAAATTAGATTATTTTTCTATTATATCATGCTGTCTATTAGTGTTAAAAATCGAACACCTTTTGAGTATTTTTTGGTGGAAAATCATGATCTTCTTGAGGCAACTATTTTTTTATGGCAGCTCCAGGAAATCCTTAAAGTCAAGGCAGAACTCCTTTGCCCTCATCATTTTCTGACTTGTATCACATTTATCTGGTTACATCTCCCCAGGAGAATTTAAACTCCTAGAGGGAAAGAATTTGTTAGCTATTGTCTTTATCTCTAACATCCAACATGTTGCTTTTTTTTGTTTGTTTTCAACATTCACTTTTTATAAGATTTTGAGTTCCAAATTTTTTTCTCCTTCTCTCCTCCCCCCAAAACGGCATGCAATCTAATGTAGGCTATACATGTACAATCGCATGAAATGTATTTCCACATTAGTCATGTTGTGAAAGAATCAGAACAAAAGGGAAAAACTATGAAAAAGAAAAAAAAAGAGAAAATAGTATGCTTTGATCTTGATCTGTATTCAGACTCCATAGTTCTTTCTCTGGATGTGGATGTGAATATTTTCCATCATGAGTCTTATGGAATTGTCTTAGATCATTGTATTGTTGAGAAGAGTTAAGTCTATCAAAGTTGGTAATTGCACAATCTTGCTGTTACTGTGTACAAAGTTCTCCTGGTTCTGCTCACTTCACTCAGCATCAGTTCATGTAAGTCCTACCAGGTTTTTCTGATGTCCTCCTGCCCATCATTTCTTATAGCACAATAGCATCCATTACATTCATACACCACAACTTGTTCAGTCATTCCCCAAATTGATGGGCATCCCCTCAATGTCCAATTCTTTGCCACCACAAAAAGAGATGCTGTAAATATTTTTGTCCATAACATGTTGCTTTTTTGAACACAGTGTGTTCTTGATAATTATTTGCTGCACAAATGAGCTGATCTGGGAAGGGACACAACATTGGTATTGGAGGGTTAGGGTTCAAATGTCAGCTTTGCTACTCACTAACTGTCTGACCTTTGGAAAGTCATTTAACCTTCACGTTCCTCCGTTTCTGCTTTTGTTAAGATGAGAAAGCTGGACTAGATGATATAGGAGCCTAAGAGCATAGTGCTTGGCATGTAGGAAGTTCCTAATAAACCATTCACTTGTTGTTGACTATATTTTGGTATATTTCATTTATACCAAATATTTTGTATATTTGGTATATTTCATTTATACCAAATATTTTGTATATTTGGTATATCTTGGTCCATTCTGGAGACAGATGGATGGATAAAGATGACTTTTCCAAAAACCATCCAGGACCAAAATTCTAGGATTACATTCCAAGCCTGACACAGATTGATCATAGGTTTACTATTTAAGTCCTTAGCTACTCTTAAGTGAAATGTTTATTTATGGGAAGCTATAAAGTAAAAGGGCTGTCTGTACGCAGTGGTCTGGGACAAAATAGGCAGAATATATCACAGAACTTTCATTCATTCAAAATGAACTTGAAGGGTCATCTAGCTCAGCCTCCCTATTACTATGACCATGCTAGATTCAGAAGCCATAAGTTTGGGTGATCTTTCTTTTTTTAAAAAAAATTATATTTTTTCCAATTATATGTAAAAACAAATTTTAACATTCATTTCCTAAAATTTTGAGTTCCAAATTCTCTCCCTCGTCTTCCCTCCTTGAGAAGGCAAGCACTTCGATATAAATTATACACATGTAGTCATGCAAAACACATTTCCAATACCAGCCCCACTGCAAAAGAAAACACAAACCAAAAAAAAAACAAAAACAAAAAATAAAGTGAAAAATAAGTATGCTTTGATCTGCATTCAGTTCTGTATCAGTTCTTACGCTGGAGATGGATAGCATCTTTCATCATAAGTCCTTTGGAATTATCTTGGATCATTATCTTAATCAGAGTAGCTAAGTCATTCCTAGTTGATCATCATACAAAATTGCTGTTACTGTGTACAATGTTCTCCTGGTTCTGCTTCCTTCACTTTGCATCAGTTCATGTAAGTCTTTCCAGTTCATGTAAGTTTTTCTGAAGTTTGTCTGCTTACCATTTCTTATGGAAGAATGGTATTCCATCACATTCATATACCACAACTTGTTCAGCCATTCCTCAATTGATGGGCATCCCCTCAATTTCCAACTCTTTGCCACCACAGAAAGAGCTGTTATAAATATTTTTATACATGTGGATCCATTTCCCATTTTTATGATCTCTTTGGGATACAGCCCTAGACATGCTATTGCTGGGTCAAAGGATATGCACATTTTTATAGCTCTTTGGGCATAGTTCCAAATTGCTCTCCAAAATGGTTGGATCATTTCACAACTCCACCAGCAATGCATTAATGTTCCAATTTTCCCACATCTTCTCCAGCATTTATCATTTTCCTGTTTTGTCATGTTGGTGAATCTGATAGGTGTGATGTGGTACCTCAGAGTTATTTTGATTTGCATTTCTCTAATCAATAGTGACTTAGAGCATTTTTTCATATGACTATAGACGGCTTTAATTTCTTCATCTGAAAACTGCCTGTTCATATCCTTTGACCATTTATCAATTGGGGAATGACTTGCATTCTTATAAATTTGACTTAGTTCTCTATATATTTTAGAAACGAGGCCCTTATCAGAGACACTGCTTGTAAAAATTCTTTGAGGGTATTAATTATTGAGAAGTCTCCAAGACTGAACTTGGGTCAACATGAATACCAAGTTTTGGTAATGGACTAGACCATAGGTTACACACATATAATGCCTTATAAACTTTCTTACGTAAACTTTTTATCTCCTTTACAATCTAGCGCAGTACTCTGTATAGAGCAGAAGTTTAATCAATGTTTATGGAACTGAAGACAGCATGGTGTAATGCAAAGAGTACTAAATACTCTGTTGGGCCTGCACCCCAAAGAAATCAAAGAAAAAGGAAAAGGTCAAATATAGACAAAACTATTCATAGCAGTTCTTTTTTGTGGTGGCAAAGAACTGGAATCTAAGGGGGCGCCCATCAATTGGGGAATGGTTGAACAAGTAGTAGTATATGAATGTAATGGAATACTACTATGCCAGAAGAAATGAGGAAAAAGATGGTCAAAAAGAGGCATGGAAAGATTTGTGTGAACTGATGCAGTGGTAGAACTGAAGAACAATTTATCTTACAACATCACTATTAGAAAAATGAAAAATTTTGAGAAACTTAAGGACTGATCAACTAATGATCAATCACGATTCTAGATGACTGATAAACAACAACAACAAAAACTAGATCACAGAGAGACAATGGACTAGCATGCAGAATAAAAAAATGCATTTTTAGATTTGAGCAATATTATTCAGTTGTTTTAATCGTGTCCCACTTTTTGTGACCATGTTTGTGGTTTTCTTGGCAAAGATACTGAAGCAGTCTGCCATTTCCTCCTCCAGTTCATTTTATAGATGAGGAAACTGAGGCAAACAAAGTTAAGTGATTTGTCCAGGTTCACATAGCTAGTAAGTAGGCTGAGGCTGAATCTGAACTCAGGGCTTCCTGACTCTAGGACTGGTGTTCTATTCACTGCACCACCTAGCTACCCTGAGCAGTATGGGGCTATACTTTGCTTGACCGTGCTTAAGTGACACAGGGGCTCTGGACTCCCTGATTCCTCCCTCCCTCCCCAATTTCCTTCCTCCTTTCTTTCCTTCCTTCCTTCTTTCCAGATTGGGGGGAAGGAGAGGTAGGAGATAGGGGGAAAAAAAAGAATGTTTGATCATAAAAAAATAAAGCAGTATTTTTTTTAAAAGGGAAAGAACACTAGATCTGAATTTAAAAGACTCAAATCACACCTCTGTAAATCAGTAGCTGGCTGATCATCTGCAAAATGGAGCTAGACTTGATTTCCAAAGTGCCTTCCAATTCTAAAACTCTGCAAGTTTATGAAATGAAATATAACTTTGAGGAAGGCCTTGCATAAGCCCTCCAGGTTTTCCAGTTTTTCTGATGCATCTTGCAAGGTCATCTGGGCCAGCCCTATAGAGGAAGGTGTGTATCAGTAAGCCAATAATAACAGATGGCTATCTCTTTCCTTCTTTAAGATCTCAGTCTAATTAGTGAGTCCTACCCTAATGGGGCCATAGCCAAGAGCACCACAACTAGACTACAGCAGACCTAGTGTGGCTCAGTGGGAGCTGCTAAGCCAGCATTCTATGGAGCACTGAATGAATGGCCCCTCACGTAGCTGTTACAGCCAGCATCTGAGCCAACTGAATCCACAGAGGAAATAAGTGTGCTCATCACTTCCTGGGATGCTACGGTCAGACT